CACGGTGTGACACGCAATCCAGAGACACAAGAGTATATGATGGTTATGAATTATGCTGAAGATGGTGATCTTAGACATTATATACGGAAAAATATTACCACCCTTCGTTGGAAGGACGCCGTTGAAATGTTATGTAGCATCGCAATGGGTCTTCTAAATGTGCATAAAAATGGTACATTCCATAAAAATTTGCATTGTGGCAACATTTTAAAGTTTTTTAGTTGTAACATCGCAGATCTCGGTTTGTGTGGTCCAAGCAATCCTTCAGAACCACGAGGCGTATATGGTTCCTTACCATTTGTTGCACCAGAAGTTCTAGCTGGTGACTCATTTTCTGCAAAAGCTGATATATATAGTTTCGCTTTCATAATGTGGGAATTATCTTCTGGTCGACCCCCTTTTTCAGATAGACCTCATGATCATTCATTAGCATTAGAAATTTGTCATGGTTTCCGAGAGGCCATAGTGCCCGGTACACCACTATTCTATGAAAAATTAATGGTAAAATGCTGGAATGCAGATCCATCATTGAGACCTGATGCTGAAGAAATTGTAGATATATTATTGAATCCATATGATTATCAACGACGTCTTCTTGGTTTAGATGAATTTACCATAAATAGCGCAAACATTGACGACGTTGATCAGTTTGAACAAACCTTAGCATCACACATATCAAGTACAAAATACCCGGTCTCTCCGGACATACATCCATTTGCATTTTATAATAGCCGTTTCCTATTATTCCCAAATTTACCAACACCACAGAATTCATTCGTAGCTGCAGAACCACCAATAATGAAATCATATCTTGATTGTATGTGTATTGATTGTATTCAAAAAGTTTTTCATTTCTGAAAATAATACTAATCATTTTGATTTTTCCTTTTCAGTCAATGATAAATCTCAACAATGTTCCCTACAATGTGATGATGAAATAACATATGAAGGTTTGTATACTTTAAAATAAGTGTTAAATTAGCGAACGTTATAAGTGTGAATATTAATAAACGAAGAAAATAAAAAATAAAACGTAGAATAAAATGTAGAATAAAATGTAGAATAAAATGTAGAATAAAATATAAAATAAAATGTAGAATACACAATATCTCTTGATATATACTCTTGGTATAGCGGACCCTTGATATAGTGGAGATTAAATAAAATCTCGATATAACAAATCAAGGTTCAAGCAATACCATAAAAATATACTGAATTTATTAATAAATTTACGATATAGCGAATTTGAATTCATATGTTATGTATCGAGAGTTATTGTATATAAAATGATGAAAAAAAAGTGATTACTCACGGCGTTTCTAATTGAGTTTGTTGAATAAACCTATCTAATCCATCATCACCACTAGTCCAGTTTGAAAATTCGTTTATGAGGCGAAGTCTTTCTTCCCATTGCCAATCATCATCTGTGTATTCAACATCTTCAGTATAAAAATCATCATCTTGGTTGTCAAGATACGATAATTGATGTTGACTTAAAAAATCATCGACCATCGCGTGAAGTTATATATAGTATATACAGTTTATTTTTGTTGCAGGTATATATTACTTTATAAAGTAATTTATACAGATATGGAGGGAAGATAGTTATGTAATCGAATTAAACTTATTAGTTAAACTTATTAAACTTGACTAAACGATCGTAAATGATCGAAAATGACAAATGCCGTGAAATTGATGGGAAAATAAAAAAAAAATGCAAGTGAAAAAGCTAGAACTTTAAAAATATACAATTTTTAAACCGAGAGAGGTGTTGTTATATAGCGACAGGAGTTATGCTACTTGGATAAATGATTTTTCGGGGGGCTGACAATGAATTTTATGTGTCACAAAATCGTAATGTGCGACATATTTGTTTATCTGTATTCGGTCGAATGATCATGTGATATAATTAGTCGCAAAAATGAAGTTTCGTAAAGACAATCCAATCCATAGTTTTGATTGTTAACTATTCTTGAGCATAGCAAAAAGCATAATGAGAAAAGATAAATCCATTATTCGCAAATAATGAACAAATAAAAGTTTGTTAGTTCTACTAAAGCATGTAGAAAATCAACAACGCAAATCAAAAAAAGAAAAATTGACTTGATTTGGTAAATGTGTTCGTGTAACAACGATCGTTCTTTAGCATTTACGTAGCATTTTTGCGGTTTGTACCTACGTAGTACTTTCTATATAAAATAACAGTGCTTACGATTCATTCATTTGAACATTGTACGATATTATCTGTTGGCTTTATAATATATAACATCCCTGAAAATTGTACATATGCGATTGTTATAATTATCAAGTTGACTATTCTTTTATCCGGTTTTTTAAGTTACAATGCTATGCATTAAACAAATTAAACGTCTGAATTATAATTGTTGTAAAAAACTTTATATATTATGAACATCCGCTGCCAATCGGCCTATTAAAAAAAATCAATTATGATTTTTTTTTTACGGCTCGTGTTATTTGCAGGTATATATGTTCTTATAGCAATTTTATTTATAGCGATAGGGATTGG